ATATACACACACACAAAGCTTTCTCCTCTCCAAATGACTAAAACACCAATTTAAAATATTACTTGAAAATAAATTTCAGTGAGAGGTCACATTCAGTTTTATTGCAAAATACTAACAAATTTAAAGTTACAAATTTAAAAGGAATATAAACCTAAAATGAGAAATAAAACAGGAAAGCATAAGTATTCATCATTCACTCCTGATTAACAAAATAAAAAGATTTATTTTTACTAAGATAATGGAATCTTCTATGTGGAATGATTTTTCAATGGGAAAGTATACTCCTTGAAGGCCATTTGCTTGTTTCCTACTAGTGTGAAGTCCTCAGTAAAGAATAAAGATATTCTGAATATCTTCACCCTCAATGCATGATCCATGATCCTCTCTGCATGATCCAAAATGAACCAACATGTTCTCATATAACAAAAGAGGCTGTTAGTTACAGATTAAATTTGTTAGCTAATAGACATGCAAGCAGCTTTTACTTGATAGACATTATAAAATATTTATTTATGGTTATTAAGCTCTCTTTGGAACACTGGTAGCGCAGCGGTTAACAGCTCAGCTGCTAACCAAAAGGTCGGCAGTTTGAATCCACTAGTCACTCCTTAGAAACCCTGTGGGGCAGTTCAACTCTGTCCTATAGGGTCACTATGAGTCAGAATCCACTCAACAGCAATGGGTTTGGTTTTAAGGACACATTGTATATCACTGGCACCCACATAGAAAAATTTCCATTTTGGAAAAATACTATTTTAAGGAAAAAATGATCAGAAAACATATTCCTGAGTCTTACTTCGTATATAAAGTCTTAACCAAAAAAAAGAAAGAAAGAAAAGAAACCAAACCCGTGGCCGTTGAGTGGATTCAGACTCATAGCGACCCTATAGGACAGAGTAAAACTGCCCCATAGGGCTTCTAAATCTGTAAATCTTTATGGAAGCAGATTGGTACATTGCAGACTGCTACATCCTTCTCCCTGGGAGAAGCTGGTAGGTTCAAACCATCTGCCTTTCGGTTAGCAGCTGAGCTCTTAACCACTCTGCCACCAGGGCTCCATATATAATCTTAGGTTTATGAATTTCAGGTTATAGGAAGTTTTCCTCCAATTTTAATAATGACGTGCTAATTTAAGAAGATTGTTTGAAAGCAGGCAAACTCCAAAGACTTTCAAAAGCTGAGTCCTTTCCTGAAATCTTTGTATACATTAACTAAAAGAAAACCCATTGCTGTAGAGTCAAATTCTGACTTACAGCGACCCTATACAATGGAGTAGAACCGCCCCATAGGATCCAAGGCTGTAAATCTTTGCGGAAACAGACTGCCACATCTTTCTCCAGTGGAGCGGGTGGTGGATTCAAACCACCAACCTTTTGATCAGTAGCTGAGCGCTTAACCACTGTGCAATCAGGACTCCTTCAAATATCTGTTACTTCATTAAAAATTCATACCAATTGCCATAACAAAGCTTATTAAGAAAATGTTCTTCATCCTACTTTGGTGAGTGGGGTCTGGGGTCTTAAAAGCTTGCAAGCAGCCATCTAAGATGCATCAATTGGTCCCAACCACTTGGAGTAAAGGAGAACGAAGAACATGAAACAGTAGTACACATATCGTTAACAACAGCTCCTGTCCAGAGGTGAGATGAGAAGGCAGAGAGGGTCAGGAGCTCGTTCAATGGACACGAGAAATCAGGGGTGGAAAGGAGAAGTGTGTTGTCACAGTATAGGGAGAGCAATTAGGGTCACAGAAGAATGTATGTATAAGTTTTTATACGAGAGACTAACTTGATTGTAAACTTTCACTTAAAGTACAGCAATAAAATAAAAAAAATAAGAATATAAAAAGTAAACAAATGGCCCCTGGACTCTCTGTCAACTCAGAACTAAACCAATTCCCGAGGTCAACTCTTCAGACAAAGATTAGACTGGACTATGGGACATAAAAGGATACTTTTGAAGAGTATGCTTCTTAGCTCAAGTAGATTCATGAGACTAAATGAACGTCCTGACAGAGAACACAACAGAGAGTCCCTGACAGAGCAGGAGAAAAGTGGCGTGCAGAACTTAAATTCTAGTAAAAAGACCAGACTTAATGGTCTGACTGAGACTGGGGGTGCCCCAGAAAGCATGGCCCCTGGACTATTAACCCAGAACTAAAACAATTTCTGAGGCCAATTCTTCAGACAGGGATTGGACTGGACTGTGGGACATAAAGTGATACTCGTGAGGAGTGTGCCTCTTAGTCAAGTAGATACAAGAGACCAAAGGGGCAGCTTCTCTCCAGAGGTGAGATGGGAAGGCAGAGAGGTTTAGGAGCAGTTGAAAGGTCCTGGGGAATCAGGAGCAGAAAGGAGGAGTGTTGTCGCAGAATGGGGTGAACAATTAGGGCCTCATAACAATGTATGTATAAAAATTTTGAATGGGAGACTAACTTGAAATGTAAACTTCATTTAATTACAAAAATAAAAAAAGAAAAAAAATTCATGCCAATTGCTGTTGAGTTGATTCTGACTTATCACACCCTCATATGTGTGAAAGTACAAGTATACTTGATCGGGTTTTCAGAGGCTGATTTTTTGGAAGTAAATCTCCAGGTCTTTCTTCGGAGGCACCTCTGGGTGGACTTGAACCATCAACCTTTCAGTTAGAATCTGAGCCCTTTAATCATATACACCACCCAGGGACTCTGGGGAAAAAAAAAAAATCCGTGCCTAATATGTGTCTTTGGCTTGGTTCTCAAGAGAAGCAAAACCAATACTGTATATAAATATCTATATAGAGAAGTTTATACCAAGGAAATGGCTCACACGGTTATAGAGGTTAGAATGTCTCTAGTCTGTGGGTCAGGATGGAGACGTCTGATTCACATAGCCACAGGGGCTAGGGAACCCAACATCAGCAGCTCAGACAGCAGGGCTCTTGCTCACAGGCTGTGAAGACCGAAGAATCCCAAGATCAGCAGGCAAGATGGCCGGTAAGCTGCTGGCTCAAGTCCCAAGAACCAGAAGTCAGAAAAACAGGAAACAGCTGCAGGATCCTGAGTGAGCAAAATCCCATGAGACTTGCCAGAGAGTCCACCTATATTGGATGCAATCCACTCCCCCAAGGAAACTCCCTTTCAACTAACTGGCTACTCACAGCAGATCCCATCATGGAGGTGATCACATTATATCAAATCTCATCATGGAAGTGATCACATCATCATACAACTGCCAAACTATAGCACAACTGCCAAACCACTGAGAATCATGGTCCAGCCAAGTTGACACACAACCTTAAGGATCACAGTATGTTAAAAAAAAAAAAAAAAAAAGACCTGGAGACATACTACAGATAACTACAACAGCTAATCACAGATGCCCCGTTAATTGCATTTCCTTCTGGAAACTTTTCACAATATTTCCAAAACTCAGCACTACCTGTTGTTATTTCAATCACCAGTCATTCTTTACAAAGGTTTTAAATATAAGGCATTGAAAACTCATCACAATCATATCAGAAAACTTAGGAAATGTTATTACCCACTATTTTATTGATGTGGTTCCATGCTTGAGTATTCTATTTCCGTTGCATAATCTGTATGTCTATCATTTTGTCAATACCACACTGTCTTACTTGCTTTAGGTTTATAGTAAGTTCTGAAATCTGTTTGAGTCAGTACTTCAACTTTGTTCTTCAAGATCATCTTGGCTATTCTAAATTATTTGCATTTTCGTATAAGTTTGAGAAGTAACTTTTAAATTTCTATAAAGTAAAAATCATGTTGGAAATTAACTTAGATCACATTAAACATAGGATGATTTGAAAAAAAATACCTTAAAAAATATTGAATCTTCCAATCCATGTCCAAGATAAAGCTTTCCATTTATTCGGGACTTTTAAAAGCCCTCTTAACAGTGTTTTGTCGTTTTCAGTATAAACATCTTGTTCAATCTTTGGTATATTCTAGTATTTTACATTTTTTATGCTATTATAAATGACATTGATTTTTAAATTTTCTTTTCTAAGTTTTTGTTGCTAGTATACAGAAGGTTTTTGTTTATTGACTTTCAATCTGTTGGTTTTTCTAAGTTTACTTATTAGATCTATAGCTTTTTTTGTAGATTCCTTTGGATTTTCAAAAAGCATAATCTTTTTATTGGTGAGTAAGGGGAGTTTCACTTTTTCTTTTCCAAACTTTATGTCTTCTTTATTCCTTGTCTAATTGGGCTGACTAGTTCCTCCAGTACTTTACTGAGATTAGGGAAAACTTTCAATAGTTCAGTATTAATATGTGGATAGATGTAATATTTTTATATACCTTTATAAAATAGAGGAACTTAAATTCCTTATTTATTTACCTGGGAGAGATCACAAAAAATTTAATCAACTTTATCAACGCTGTTTTTCACACCTACTGAACTGGTCATAGGTTTTTTTCTTCTTTATCCTGTTAATGTGTTGATTTATACTAATTGATTTATTTTATTGAGATGACATTCACATGGCATTAAATTAACCATTTTAAAGTGGCATTTAGTGTATTCACAATGTTCCAAACACCACCATTTTGTTCTTGGAATAAATCCCCACTGATCATCTAAATTGTGGTATAAACCTGTTGCCATTGAGTGGATTCTGACTCATAGCAACCCTATAGGACAGAATAGAACTAGTCCATAGCGTTTCCAAGGAGGGGCTGGTGGATTCAAACTGCTGACCATTTGGTTTGCAGCCATATCTTTTAACCACTCAGTCACTAGTGCTCCTAACTGTGATATAGTATACATTTTATATATTGTTATACACAATTTGCTAATTTGTTGTTTAGGATTTTTGCTCTAGGATAATGATAGATATTGGCCTGCTTTTGTTTCCTGTAATATGGTTTCTTGTGATTCAAACCATAACAGGATCAAACCAGAAAAACATAAACAATAAGAGATCTCAATATTCTAAGTTTAAATGATACGTTTCAAGTTTATCTGTTTTGCAACCCATCCTTGTTTTTATCCTTAGCTCTGCTTTCCTGGAGTCTTTCTGAGGACATGATGAAACCAAGTTGATGGAGAGATGGGAAGAAAAGGGCTGATCTAATGTCTTTGGAAGTCTCTGGGTGACCTCGGTCTCCACGAGGACTAATTATAGCTGCTGGCCAAGAAGTGGTCTCTACTTCCCTTCTACTTGTTGTGGTTTGAATGGTGTCCCCCAAAAAGTTATGCTGAAGTCCTAGCTCCTATACTTGTGAATGTGAAATAGAGTCTTTCCAGATACGATCAGTTAACATGAGACTACTGGTGTAGGGTAGGTTCTGATCCCATCTGAGTGGTGTCCTTATAAAGAGAAGAGACACAGAGACAGAAGAGAAAAGACTTCACATAGAAACAAACTCTGAAGATTCATCTGTAAGCCAAGGAATGCCTCGGTCTACCAGAAGCCAGGAGATACCAGGAAAGATCCTCCCTAGAGAATGTGGAGGAAGCATGACCCAGCCCACATGTTCAGTGTGGACTTCTGGCCTCCAGATTGTGAGACAAGGATTTCTGTTTTTTAAATACACTACCAGTGATTTTTTTAAATTTTTTTAATTGTACTTTAGATGAAGGTTTACAGAAGTTTTTCATTAAACAGTCAGTACACATGTTGTTTTATGACATTGATTAACAACTCCACAACATGTCAACACTCTCCCTTCTCAGCCTTGGAGGACCTTTTTTTTTGGTGAAAATATACATAGCCAAAGATACACCTTTTCAAAAATTTCTAAATGTACAATTCAGTGACATCAATTACATTCTTCCAGTTGTGCTGCTATTCTCACTATCCTTTTCCAAATTATTCCATACCATTATCTTCAACTCACTCTCACCTAGTCTTCCCATCAAACCTTTTGAGTTGCTGTAGTCAATTTGATCTCACATAGATAATTCTTTTTTTTTTTTTTTGTACTTTAGATGAAGGTTTACAGAACAAATAGTTTCTCATTAAAAAAAAAAATTTATTGTTGCTTAGGTGACAATTTACAAAGCAAATTAGTTTCCCATTCAACAACTTATACACAGCTTGTTTCATGACTTTGGTTGCAAATCCCTGAATATGTCAGCACTTTCCAGACTTCCTCCTTGAGTTTCCAGTGTCCATTCACCCAGCTACCAGTGAATTCTTAGTAACAGTGGTCTAACTTGTCCTCTATGCCTTGTGCCCAGCCAAGTGTGGGTTGTGTCCCTTCATATTAAACCTGATCAGGTCAGAGGAAATGTGAGAGCAGAGACCACTTCTCCCCTTCTCTCTCTGGGACCCTCCAAAGGGCCAGAGTCAAAGGGATTAATCAGTTAATGTTTGTGGAATGAAACAAAAAGAATGAATGAAAGAAAAGGAATTAGGAATGTGTGGATTTCCTTCTAGCCATGCAGCAGCACTGAGAGTTAGAGTGATGCCATACTTGGTTTGTTCGTCATAAACGCAGTGGCTTCCTGTCTGATTTTGTTGCTGGAAGTATGAAAATCCTTGCTCTTTTATACATCCGAAGCTAAGAAATGGTGTGTCAGAGGCAGCAAGGGAAACAGGGTTCCTGGAGAAGCTTTATTTACAAAAAAAATATATGCATATTTTTTGAAGGAAAAGAGGAAATAAACTGTGAAAGAAAATCCTTCCTCAATCTCCCTGGACCTGGGCCCTGGGCTCAGCGGATCCTGATCTCCCCCTCCCAGCCTTCCTGCAGGGAGGTTTGTGTCTGAGCTCACACTGACTTCTCACTAAGTCTCTCGCACAGTAATATATGGCTGTGTCCTCGGGTTTCAGGCTGTCCATTTGCAGATACAGGATGTTCTTGGAATCATCTTTAGAAATTAGGAACCTACCTTTCACAGACACTGCATACTCTCTTGTAAGGCCATTAGCAGCATTTCTTATCAAACCAAGCCACAGTAGCCCCTCCCTTGCAGTTTGGTGAACCCAGTTCAACCAGTAGCTACTGAAGGTGAATCCAGAGGCTGCACTGGAGAGTCTCAGAGATCCCCCATGCTGCCTCAGGTCTCCCCCAGACTCCACCAACTGCACATCACAGTGAACACCTGCAAACACAGAGACACAATGGTCAAGGTGGAATCACAAGGAAGCAAACCCAGGCACACACTAAAGGTACTGATGTTTCCCACCCCTAAAAACGACTTTGGTAAGCAATCAAGAATAAAACCAAGCTCAGCAAGGAGTTCATGGTGGAGCTGCTGGGTTGCAGACTTGGCGAAGTTCTGGCTTCACCCTGGGCTCTGCAGTTATCTTCATTTGTATCTGCACAGAGACAGCCCCATTTGCATGTCTTCCAGATACAACAGTGCAGCCACAACGCTGGGCTGCTTGTCCCACCTCATCACCCTATGATAATGCCAGATGGGGTTGGGACTTTGGGAAAGCACTAACAAGATGGACCCTATCCTGACCCACATACCCCACTTACCCTGGACAATCTGATTCTATTCGTTTTGATAGCTATTTGAGGGATTAAAATGCCTCCATCCTCAGCATTTTCAGAATGTGGATGAGGACCCCACCCAGTGAATGCTGCCCTCAGAGCGCCAAGGTTAAGATTTCTTCCCTCTCATTCCTTTGTTCCCTGCACATGTTTTCTCTCTGGACCTTGAGAATAAGAATTTAAATGTGAGACTTCCAGCAAAATGGCACTCTAGGCAGAAGCACCATGCCATCCCTCCAAGCAAAGATCCGAAAAACTAAGCCAAACAGAAAAAAGAGCAATCCTGAAGCCCAAGAACATCAAATGAAGAGATAAAGAACTCAGCCAAGCACCAAATGGAGTGAGAAAACTGACAGAGAATGGAGAGCGAGGAGAGATTCATGCGGAGGTCCCCCATCAGCTAACGCAGTGCAGATCCTCCATCTTGGGCTCCTATTGGAGACCAGCAAATAGGGGGTATGAGAAAGCAGATTCATGGAGCTTCCAGTGGGAGACAAAACAACCGGTAATTTGCTATATATGCTTTCCCACACACCATTCTTCACCCCCACTCGGCCTCCTCTGCTTCCCGCGGCCACAGTCTTTTGTCTGGGAAGCACCGGCTGCTTGGATACCACACGCCCGCCAGCACTGGCTGGCTCTCTGAGTGCCACTTGTTGGCTGCTGGTGTTCCTTTTTTTCTGTTTCTTTTTATTTCTTCCTTACCCCTCACCACTTCCCCCTACTTTTACTCAAACACCTGGCTCCGTGCACCATCTTTGCTTCTTCCTGAGGGGCTGCAGAGCTCCGTTCACATGTGGAAGTGCTTCCCAATCTGGGCTGCCATGCTGGTGGGATCTCAGGGCTTTTGTTGGTTTGTTTGTTTTGAATCGTTTGTTTATTTTCTTTTCCTTTCCTTGAGTTGGGAGCCTGTTCTGGCTGGGCAGTGCTGTGCAGCTTGGAACCTACCCAATCAGCTTGTGCACACAAGCAGAGGGATCCCTGAGAGCATTTCTTTTTTCATGTTTTTATTTTTTTTTTTCTGTTTTTTTTGGGGGCTTTTTTTCTTTTTTTTAAATTTGTTTTGTTTTCTTTTCCTTATTTTTCCCTTTTTGTTTTTCCTCATTACTCGGGTTCTCTTCTCTCAATACCTTCCTTCTCTCCCTGTTCCCTGAATACCTGGTGCTGAATACCTCTACAACTTCTAGCCAGGCTGTACTGCAACACCTGAGAACAACTTCCCCAGACCTCATAGCCACACAGGTGGGATCCCTGGGAACTTTGCTGTTCTTTTTCCTTCCTGATTTTTATTTATTCATTCTTTTTTTTTCTTTTTCTTCCCCTTTTGTTTTTCTCCATTTTGTAGTCTCTCATCTTCCCACTCCAACAACAAGCTCCCCTAGCACTCTTTTTGTTTGTTTGTATGTTTTTGGCTCCTGTTCCTCTCTCCTCTCTCCCTTATCTATCTTAGCTCCACAAATAACAATCTCCCCCCTACACCCTGCTTACCTGCACCTTGCGCTTAACATCACACCGCCAAGCAGCACAGACACAGCCTACTGGAACCTGCCCTGCACTGATTACTTACCCACCCTGGTGGCTGTAGTAAGTGCCACAAACAACCTGTCCCAGTAACACCTCTTCAGCTAGACCTGCCCTGATGTACCATATCTGAGTCACTGATCCTGTCAATTAGGAGAAGGAGGTGAAAAGTATGCCCACAGACAAGCAAACAATAAAGAACACACACCCACCTGCTCAGACATAGCCAAATAAAAAAAAAGACAAAACAAATCTACAATCAATAAATGAGAAAAATAACAGCTGAATGTCCTGAAGACAGCAGACAATATCAAAACATTTACAAAAACAGGACAGGATGGTTCCAGAAATAGTCCAAAATAAAACACCAGATGACTTTCTGGTGGAAGAAAAAGCACTAGAACTACCTGAGAGGGAATTCAAATCTCTAATACTCACAATTATCCAAGAGTTGAAGCAAAAAGCAGACAAAAAGGA